AGAATTCTATCTTGGAATGTTCGAGGTCTGGGATCGGGGAGAAGGAGAATGGTGGTATTTGATTCCCTGAAAATGGTGAAATCGAAAATTGTTTGGCTTCAAGAAACAAAATTGGAGAAAATTGATGCTGGCATTATTCGGAGTGTTTGGGGAGATGGTCAGGTTAGATGGAAGGCAAAGGCTGCTTCTGGGAGTGCAGGGGGCCTGCTATGTCTTAGGGACCCTTCTGTATGTAGCTTGATTTCTTGCAGAAGTGGGAATTTCTCAATTTCTCTAGTCATGAAGCTGCAAGATGGTAATACTATTCAAATCACAAATGTGTATGGACCAACAGTTTCTAATCTCAGGGCGGACTTTTGGGAGGAATTAGTAGATATAAGAGGTTCTTTGGCTCATCCTTGGGTCATTGGTGGTGATTTTAATGTTACGTTATCGGTGGAAGAGAAAAACATAAGGAGTGGAAGAAATGGGTCGATGAGGCAGTTTGCAGATTTTATCAATAGCATGGATCTCATGGATATCCCCATTCAAGGTAACAGATTTACTTGGACAAATAACCAAGAAAATCCTACCCTTGTGAGGTTGGACAGGTTCTTGGTATCTTCTAATTGGGATGGTGTTTTTCTGGACTTTAGACAGATCACCCTACCCAGACCTGTTTCAGATCACAGCCCTATTCAGCTTATTTGTGGGCATCAGGAGAAAGTTAAAGCTCTCTTTAAATTTGAAAATGCTTGGTATGAGGAAGATAGTCTTATTCAGTTGATGAATGCTGTGTGGGAAGGAACTCAGGTGGAGGGATCCAGCTCCTTTATTCTGGCAAAAAAACTTTCTGCTATCAAAAGGAGAATAAAAATTTGGAGTTTGGAGAAAATGTTAAAGTTGGGGACTGAAAAGAAAGCCTTACTAGGTACCATTGAAGAGATTGACAGAGCTAAAGAATTGGGTCCAATTTCTGAAGACTTAAGGCTGAAGAGATCTCAAGCAAAAAATAGCATAGACAAATTGGTTGTGAAAGAGGAAATAAAGTGGAGACAAAGGGCTAAGATCACTTGGCTAAAAGAGGGTGATAAAAACACACATTTCTTTCACAAAATGGCAAATGCTCAAGCTAGAGCCTCTTCTATTAATAAGTTGGTATGGGATGATAGAAGCGGGGAATCAGATTCTGAGATCAAATTAGTTGCATCTTTTTACAAAAAGCTATACAAGGAAAATTGGATGTATAAACCCTTTCCCTCTAATCTCTCTTTCAGGAAGCTGACTGATAGTCAGAAATTATGTCTCGAAAGCCCTTTTACAGAAGAGGAAATCAGTGCTGCAATTAAGAAATTAGAAGGAGACAAATTGCCTGGGCCGGATGGTTTCACAAACCTTTTCTATCTGAAGTGCTAGAGCTTTGTGAAAGAGGATTTGATGAAGGTGTTCCAGGAGTTTCATGCTAATGCCTCTCTGCAAAGAAGTTTGAATGCCACTTTTATCACCCTCATTCCAAAAATTGAGGGGGTTGTGAGTATTAAGGACTTCAGACCTATTAGCTTGCTGCATAGTTTTTACAAAATCTTGGCTAAAGTCTTGGCTGAAAGAATGAAAGGGGTGTTAGGTAGTATAGTCTCAAATAATCAGAGTGCTTTTGTGCCTGGAAGACAGATGGTTGACTCAATTTTAATTGCCAATGAGTTAATTGATTCTTGAAGAAGAGAGGGAATCTCGGGTGTGATTTGTAAGCTTGATATTGAGAAAGCATATGACTGCATCAACTGGAATTGTTTGGATCATGTGCTGGAATGCATGAATTTTGGACAAAAATGGAGAAACTGGATTAGTGTTTGTACTAAGACCCCTAAATTTTCAATCATAATTAATGGCCAATCCACGGGGTTCTTTGATAGCTCTAGGGGTCTGAGGCAGGGTAATCCTCTGTTCCCTTTGTTATTCATTTGTGTTTTGGAAATTCTCACTCTCTTTAGTAAGAAGGCTGCTGATTCGGGCTTATGGAATGGGTTTGCTATCTCCCCTGGAAAGGAGAAAGTCAATATCCTTCAATTTGCAGATGACACCTTATGCTTTGTGGATGCTTCTCTGTCTCAGTTGGACTCAGTGCTTGGAATCTTGAGCTGGTTTGAAGTGGTGTCGAGTCCCAAAGTCAACTTGAGTAAAAGTAAGATCATCCCAGTGGGCCATGTTTCAAATTTAGAAGATTGTGCGAAAGTGATGACTTGCCAAACAGATTTCCTCCCGGTAAAGTATTTGGGTCTGCCTCTTGGGGCCAAATATTCTTCCTCCTCAATCTGGTACCCAATCATTGAGAGGATGGGGAAGAAGTTGGACTCTTGAAGGCAAAATATCTATCTTTTGGTGGTAGGGTTACTTTGATTAAGAGCACCCTCTCCAACCTCCCCACTTATTTCCTTTCTCTCTTTCCCATCCCAAACAAAATAGCAAACAGGTTGGAACAGATCCAAAGGAACTTATTATTGGAGAGGATGGGAAGCTGAGAATAAGATTCACATTGTAAATTGGGAGAAAGTGTGTCTTCCTAAGGAAGTGGGTGGTCTAGGAATTAGGAAGTTGAAAGAATTTAATTATGCTCTTCTTAGTAAATGGTTATGGAGATTTGCTTCGGAGAGGAATGCATGGTGGAGAAGTCTTATTGCGGCAAAGTATGGAGTGGTATGGGGTGATTGGAGAACTCTAGATCCCCATCAAATTGGGGGTAAATCTCTTTGGGCAGGCATCTCAAAGTACATCAATCTCTTTCTGAATGGGATCAAGTTTAAGGTCAGTAAGGGGGACAGAATCAAGTTTTGGAAGGATCCCTGGTGTTTGGAGGGTCCCTTGGCTGAAGCTTTTCCTTGTCTGTTCCAAATTGCTGTGAATCAAGACTCTTCTGTTGATGATAACATTTGCATTTCTGGTGATTCAATCATCTGGACTCCTCTTTGTAGGAGGAATTTGTTGGATTGGGAAGTGGAAGAGTATGTGGATCTGTTGGGGCTGCTTCAAAATCAGAGGATCGACTTGAGTTTGGAAGATGAATGGTCTTGGAAGTGGAATGCAGATGGTAGCTTCTCTGTGAAATCCCTTTTTCTTAAGGTGTGCAGTTCAGGTCAGGAGAACTTCCCTGCTAGGCAGATTTGGAACCCATCCAGTCCCTCCGAGATTAACTTCCTGGTCTGGACAATGGCTCTTGACAAATGTTTGACTAGGGCTAACTTGGTGTGAAGGGGTATTCAGATTTTGGACCCCTCCTGTGTTCTATGTGGTAACTGTGTAGAATCTACAGAGCACTTGTGCATCCATTGTCCGGTCTCCTCCTCAATCTGGGGACATTTTTTCAAGAAGTTGGAGATTAGCTGGTCTATGCCAAGATCTGTGAAGGAGTTACTAATGTGTTGGAGAATGGAGGGTCTCAGTAAGAAAGGAAAGATTGTTTGGAATACCATTCCACAAGGCTGTTCTTTGGTCCATTTGGACTGAAAGAAATAACAGAATTTTCTGTGGTCACCTCAGAAGTTCAGAAGTAGTGCAGAAAGCGGTGGGCAAGGTTTGTTCCTAGGTGTCAGTGAATGAGGAATTTAAAAATCAGAATGTATCTCAGTTATTTTGCACAAAATCATGGATGAGCTTGTAATCTGTTTTGGGCCCAGGCAGATCTAGTGGTCTGGGCTTTGTTGTATTCTTGTTTGATTGAATAAAATACTTTACCTTTTTCCAAAAAAAAAAGAGTACAAAACATTACCTGTATATTTTAAGGGAAACCAAGTGGTCTTTCAGCATTGTCTTAATTAAGAGACCTGAGGAGTTTATAATTGATGATGACTCCCCACTCTCCCTTTCAAAATTCACCCAATGCATTCATTCCTCAAGTCTGCTTCTGAGTAAAAGGTTCAACAAGCTCTATATCCAGTTTAATTCACCTCAATCAAGCCTTCTCCCAACTCCCATTGTTGATTGGTTTGTTGCATATATAGTTATTTTTCTTGAGCAAATTGGACACTCTAGCCCAAAATCTAATCCAATTTTTAGGAGAAACTTTTGTATTATTAAATCACAAATCACATGCATTACATTTTGCTGGCAGTTCAGTTCACATCGACAAAGATAACATATACCAACATACAAGTTTATTGTTTAAGCAGGCAAAAGAAAACAAGCATTCATGGACCAATTGTTCTGATGGAAAGGATGGACCAATGGTTAAGCAAATCTAAATTAGATTACTACATGGTCAATTTGCATTATTTTCCACTTCCAAGTAGTTTCCAATTAAACCCTTTAGCATTCTTTCAGACTAAGCATGAATTGGTGTGCCACACATGCAGCTTTTGACAGAGACTAGTTGAAACTTTGAAACACCATGTAACTTCTATAACTAGAAAACAGATAATATTTAGGTCTAATAATGATTTTGAAAGCTGTTACTGCACTGAGAAAATGTTAGGCAACTCATCCCAGTCTAGCCTCTTTCAATCCAAGCTGATGAGTTTGCAATTTTTTGAGGAATTTACCTCCTGTTGAGTCAGCTCTTGTGTTAACCCTTAATGTGGGACTCTAAACCCAACCTACCCACCCAAGTTAAATTTTCACCCCGTCATCTTCCCATTAAAGTTAGGAACTGGAAGCCCCATCTTTCCGTTTGACTTCTTGTAAATTCACTTAGGAATTGGAAATTCAATTTCCTGAACTTCTATTTTATTTAATTTTATCTGCCTGCAGCTTTTTCTCAGCTCATAATGCTTTTCCTTGAAAATAATTTTGCACAAGAAATAACAAATTTTTTGATTGGAGGTGGTATACACTGATTATAGTCCACAGTGTAGTCCTTGGGCACAAGGAGATATGAATCACTGGTATATGTTTTTTTTTTCAATTAGTACGTGCCTTGCCTTTTGGTGCACAAGGAGATATGAAAATTTGAATTTTAGTGCAACATTTCTGTAGATTTCCTTAATTATCTTAACTCTGTTGCTAACTTTTATGTTAAATGCAAAATCCAGGTTCTGGTTAATCTCACTTGTGTATACTTATCAAATTATACTTCAATTTTAACTAATCACTCATTTCCTGATGAAAATGTAAGTTATTCCCACCCTAGTTTGTGTTGTTTCATTGATAATTTATTGCTTCTTTTTTCCTCTATTGAGGTTCAAGGTTTCTGTATTTACTTTTGACTTTCGAGCATTTGTAGTTGTAGATTTGAGATTCTTTTTGTCAGCAACAGTTAAAATTTTATTAATATGGTATAAAAAAAGAGATATGTACAAAGGCTGCTTGCAGCCCTAACACTTCAGCGTCGTTTTAGATTTGCTCATAACATTGTTCCCGGTACAGATCTGCCCTGTTGACCCCTTATTTTGCTAGAACAATAGCCAAACCATAGAAAACTTACCACCCTTGCATTGACGTTCTGCCTGGTTTTCCTCATGAGGTGTCTGCTTCCAAACTCCCTCCTTGTTATTCTCCAACCACCCCATTACCATCCCTTGTAATACTGTTTTCAGTTCTGCCTTCAAGGAGTCACCATGGTCTATTGGCCTTGAGTATAATGCTGTTGTGGAGCTATATTCATTCCTGAAAACTCCACCAATACCTGAGAGTCCTGGGTTCCCCAATGATCACAAAGTTCAAATTTAAACAATTAGATCCTGGTGGCTGATGTAGGATCTTTGTGATTCAGCATTATTCTTGCAACCGACCTAGTTCTAAGTGTGTAGCACTAGGGGTGGCAAATGGGTGGTTTGGGTGTGGGTTGACTATCAACCCACCCATATTGACCCTCCAACCCATTTGCCACCCATATTTATTGATGTTAGTGGGTCACAACCCATCCTAACCCTGACCTAAACTGTTGACATTTTTTTAATTTTTCTCTATTTCAAAAGAATTAAACATAGAAATATCAATTAAGAAAACATAAAAATGATAAAAAAGTTCAAAAAATATTTTCAAATAAAAATAAAAATAAAAATGCACAAATCACTGAAAATAATAAATATATTTCATGTAAAACATAAAAAATTATAGAAAAAAAATTAAATGAAAGTTATCATTTTACATAAAACAGAAAATTGTAAAAAACACAAATTGCAGAATAACGCAAACATAAAAAATGCAGAAATTTAGAAAAATATAAAATATGAAAAATAGAAATTGTAGAAAAACCAAAGAAATTATAAAAAATTATAGAAAAAACACAAAAATTGTAAATAAATAACAAAAAAATACATGAAAATGTATAAAATGCAAAATAATAGAAATTATGAAAGATTTAGAAAACTATAAAATTCAAAGAAAATACAAAAATTATGGGAAACCAAACCTAAAAAATGTAGGAAAATTACAAAAACTGATAGATTTTTTTTTGAATTTTTTAATACAAGAAAACAAAACGTAAAAATGTAGGAATTTTTTGATAGAAGTTTCCATCATTTTTTTTAAAATTATATTAATAGAAAATTTCAAAAAATATAGAATAAGTATAAGAATTTTTAGAGAAAATATATTACATGCGATGGATTTGTTTTGCAAACCCAAATCTGTCTCCATAGAGGAAGATGATGAATACAAATCTGGATTTAAACCAAATCTGGTGTGATCTCTTCGATCTGTGTCTGTGAACCCAGATCTGGGTTCTACCATGGCAGAAACCTCTCTGATCTGTGTCTGCGAACCTGGATTTCTTCGATCTAGGTTCTACCATGGCGGAAAGAATGGAGAGATCTGCTATGTGACGCCAGATCTGGAAGAAATCACCGGTGGTTCTGATCGTTTGCTACTGACAACATGGGGGTGAAAACCGAAGAAGAAATCACCAGTGGTTCTGATTGCCGGCTACTGATAACAGTGGGGGTGAAAACCCAACTTGACGGCTACTGAGAACAATGAGACTCCTAACCCTTTTTCCCTTGAGTTTTGACCCTTCCTTTATCCAACTGACCCCAACCCACCCTGACCCTTTTCCCCTGATCCTAATGGGTCACTCGACCCTTATTGACTCGCCAATAGTATGGGTGGGTGGGTCAAATGGGTTGGGGTTAAGATTTCCAGTCCTATGTAGCACAAACAAAGAACTAATGGAGAAAGAAGAGAAGATAAGAGAAGAGATGGAAATAAAATGAAAACCCTCAGTGAGGGCAATTACGCCCCCCAACTTGGCAATCACACAAAATTCTGTAGAGAAACCTTTTTTGTTCATCAGGGAAAAAATACTATTCTCCAGATGAGCCTTACAAATTCCAAAGGAAGAAACTTGCCCCCCAAATTAGCTTGCCCAACAAGTCACTTACAAAAAGAAGCTAGATTAGACTAAACCTTCCCCAAACAATTACAAACATAAAGCCAAACAAAGGGAAATTACTAGACTAAGACCTGTTCCCAAACATAACCCCCTAAACATGCAAAATTACAAAAATACCTTTTTTTGAAAGTACAAGTTAAAGTATTTCATTAAGATCAAAGAGCCAAAATTACAATGTAACMTCTGTACAATGAGAAGCTGTAAAGAGGGAAACAGCTTGCCAAAAAACAGCCACCCCTAAAAAACTATAAATTCCTTACAAAAAAGAAATCTGAGTCAAAAAAGGAAGACATATGTTTATTTTTGAATAAAGGGTGGATTGCCAACCAAGAATGCACCATCCCCGTGATCTTGTTAAGAATTTCTTCTTTTGAAGAATGTCTTCCTTTGAATAATCTACTATTTCTTTCATTCCAAATCACCCAGAAAACTGCTGCAGGTAGGATGCTCCAAGCGACCTTTCCAGCCCTGGATAACAAGGTTTAAAATGTCAATGTTGGTGGAAATGTTGGTCATCCAAATATAGGGAACATGTTGGAAATGTCAAAAATATCGTATGGAAATATTGTAAAAATTATAGGCATGGTGAAAACATTGTAAAATATGCAAAAATATAGAATGATGTTTTATAAAATGATAACAGAAGTATAGGCACACCTTTTTAAATTATTATCATGATCCAAATCATTAAACAAGCTAAGAAACTAAGACTATAGACAAAAGATTATGTTCTGAAGTTCAATTATCAAAGAAAGATTATGTTCTGATGTTGTCCTGTGAACCTTAAGATTCAAAGCTTCATGATAGAATGAGTTAAAGCAAAATTTGAACTCATAGAAAATGTAAATGGTTATAATAGATCAATCAAATAATCTACTACACAAACAAAGACTAATATTTAACTTCATGTTTCTTGTTTAAAACAAATATTGAACTAGCTCAAAGTGGTAATCATGTAAGTTAGGTAGGCAATAACATTGTTACTCCATATATTACAAGAGTCACCAACTTATGTTATAATACTATTTCTTGTACTCTGCATAGTGCTGGTAGTGTTCACTAGGGAATATGTCAATTCTGGTAAAAGTGGAGATAGAAAATTGTCGTCAAAGCTATCTCTTGTACTCCACATAGTGCTGGTAGTGTTCATTGGGGAATATGTTGATTTTGGTAAAATTTTGTGTTGCTACCCATGGAAATGGAAATATGTTGTGGAGATATTAGGGAAATTAGGGGCATTTTAAACCATGCTGGATAAACCTCCAAATGTCCATGCCCTATAAATCCCTTTGCATCAGCTGAGAAGCACAACTTAACCCCAAACAAATTCAGCATTCTCATCCAAGCCCAATAAGGAAAAAAGTTACAATGGATCAGCAAATGACCAGAAAATTCCACATTTCCCTCACATAGAATGCAGGCCATATCCTCCACCTCTAGACCTCTTCTAACCAAAATTTCCTTCGTTAGAATCTTATCCAGCACTGCTGACTAAACAAAGAAAGCCAGCTTAGATGGAACAGATCTAATCCAAATTCTGATACTTGGAAAAGAAGGCTAGAGAAGATGCCCGATTTCTCGAAGACCATTTCCTCTTGTCCTCTCCTACTCCGTTTACCTTTTGAGCAGTTTTTTCAACCCACTGTTGACCCATCTGGTTGAACCGCTTGAGCCATCACCCAGTCAAGATTCTAGGTCCAGTTTGAGTAAAACCCGGAGAAAGTAAAAAAAACCGTTGACTTGGTTAAAAACTGTCTGACCTGRACGGTTGGACCGTTGACCTGTTCAACCTGGTGTTCGGGTCGCAGGTTGCATACTAACTGTGTTTGCAAACTTCAGGAGGCCATAACTTTGCACTCCGATGTCCGATTGAGTTTTTTTATTTATTTATTTTGGGTAACTTTTCGAGATCTATGTGTCCCAAGACGCATAGGTGCCTTTCCCCGTTATTTTTTTCAAAAAAATCTTTTTTTGGCCTCAAATTGCAATTTTTAATTTTTTACAAATAAAAAGTTTATAACTGAATTAAAAAACATAAATTAAATATAAAATATTTCATATATTACATGTAAAACATAATTATACATTATTTATTGATAAAATAAATGTTTATACATACCTATACATGTGTATACATATAAATTTGAATTTCCACTTGGCTAATGTGGCACGGTCTGACCCATCTGACTTGGAGGCAAAAATGGTTCGGCCTCTGGGTCGGTTTTTAAAACACTGCTTTTGAGTCATACAATAATTGAAGCAACCTGACCAAAGAAGCCACCTCCCAATCATTTAACTTTCTCCTGAATTGGGGGTTTCAGATACACTGTCCGTCCTGGCTCTCCAAACAATCAGCCATTGTTGCATCCTTGTTTACTGAGATCTCAAATAGATCAGAGAACAGAGTCATTAAAGAGACATCCCCACACCAGAAGTCCTTCCAAAATAGAATCCTGAGGTCATTACCGACTTCATATTTTATTCCTTTCAAAAACTGATGTTGAACTTTTTGTATTGCTTTCCACAAAGAGCAACTGTATGATGTTCTGACTTCTTCAATCTCCCACTTTCTGCTGCTTGAATTGTATTTAGCCACAAAAATTAATCTTCTCCACAGACTATCCAGTTGCTCATTAAATCTCCATAACCACTTCTCTCGCAGGGCTGTGCTGATATTTTTCACTGATCTTATCCCTAGACCCCCATCCTTTATGGAGTTATAGACCTTTCTCCAGTTGACAAGGTGGCACTTTGACTCCTCTTCCAACCCCCATTCTAACTCTGCTGCCCATCTGGCCAGAATTGGGAACAAAGACAAACAGAAAACAGGAAAGGAAGACAACACACTTCGATTAAAGTTACTTTACCCCCTTAGACAAATCTTTGGTTTTCCAAGAAGCCAATTTTCTGTCCACTTTCTCAATGATGGGTTCCCATATAACTTTGGAATTTGGATTTGCAGTTTTCACCCAAAGGCATACCCTTTGGAAGGAAGTTTGCGAACTTTACAGCTCCAATCATCAGCCCATAACTCCAGGTTTGGCACCTCTCCAACAGCCATTATTTCACTCTTTATAATATTAACGTGCAGCCCAGTTACCACCTTGAACCACCTTAAATTGCCTTCATGTGCCAGAGTTGTTCCCAAGAGGCATCACAGAAGAAGAGAGTGTCGTCTGCGAATTCTAGTAGGGCTATCTCCACTTCCCCGTTTCCCACCTTGAAACCTTCTACCATTCCTCCTATTCAAGCTCCCTCTACCAATCTGAACATGGCTTCTGTCACACAAATAAATAAGAGAGTGGAGAGAGGGTCCCCTTGTCTTAGGCCCCTTGAACTCCTAAACAGTCCAAAAGAGCTCCCATTCACCAGAACTGAAAAAGATGAAGTAGATAGGCACGCTTTTATCCAATTTCTCCATTTCACTCCAAAGTTCATCTTCTTCAACATGTAATCCAAAAAATTCCAATTCACATGGTCAAAGATGAAGTAGATAAGCACGCTTTTTTTAATTTCTGATTAAGAAAAAAGGTTAGGGAAGCATTTTTCAAAGGCACCACCCGTAAATCCTCCCAGAACATAACTTTATTCCCTAAGCCCACATCAAGGCAAGCATAGGGGATGAGAAGTGAAAAAAGATTGTGAATGACTTTTCAGGGAGATAGCAAGTTTGCTCTAGGAGGCAACCCGGCATCCTAACCATTTGTCGTCAAGCCATGGATGCTAAAGCCATTTTCCATGCAAAGCATACTTTCTAAACCTCAAGTGCCCAAATTCTTATCCCCCTTAATCCTTTCTTCTACCCCTCACATCCCATTATGGAAGGTTCTTCTCCCTCCTCTTAACACAATGATACTTTGCAAAAAAAATAAAGGGTTTCCCCCAGCTCTCAGAGGCATCTCATTAATTTCTCTAGTCTTTTTGCCACCAAAGCAGGATTTCTAAAGATAAATAGATTGTAAAGTGGAAGGTTTGCCAAAGCAGAGTTGATGAGAGCAATCTGCTCCCGCTGAAAGAGATGTAGTTTTTCTTCCAAGTAGCCAGATTTATAGATTTTATATTTTCATAGCTGATTATCATTCCATTAATTAAGTAAGACATGGTTTGTGTAGAGTACAAGCCAATGCCGGGGCACTCACAAATTTTGAAGTACTTGACTTTTTACGGTCTAGAGGAGCATCAACAGATCCTACCCGTGTAATTGCCCCTGTAGCTCCATCTGAGTTCAAGGTAGGATTTGTCTAGCTTGTAGTAACTAAGTTGTGTTTCAACTGAGTGGAAGTATGATGCCTTTTTTTCTAAATCTTTCTCATTGAGCATGCAGGTCTACGATTATTTGGTTCAAAGTGCGGTTTGCAATCAAACAAGAGAAAGCATCAATGAATTCTTGAAGAGATGTGAAAAATATGACCTTGCAAATGCTGAAAAGCTCAATATTATCAACATTAGACCATCATCTTTGGTTGAAATTGACCCGGTAATTACTTTTTTATATATTCATGAATTTAACTGGAACATGTTGAAGCATGTGAATGCCACATTCTCATGTTGAAGCATGTCGCCTAAGTGATGGAATCTGAAAATATAAAGCATATAGATTCTTACCCCTCCTAAGCTATTTTATTAGTTTCGTATACTAACCAACAAACCTATACACTAATTATTAGCAATAAAATCCTTCAAAGAAATAATTCATATGAAATATTGAAATTAATATATTTAAATGATGCATATGATAGCATTATATATTATTATTATTATTAAAGAAAGAAATATTTGGTGGTTTGACCCACCTATACATACGACGGAGACTTCTCACTCCTAGTCTTCACCCTGAGGCTACCTTTCCTTGTATAGGTTTCCCTACCTTTTCCTACTTTTTTCTTCAAACCAAACACAACCTAAGTTTTTCCTTTTCCTTTTTTTTCTTGGTTTGTGTGAAGTGTCTTGATTGTTAGATAACACTTCCACACCTCAGATGTATAGTTTCTTGCTGTACATGAAACATACATGTAATTTGGAGCTTACATGAGTAAAATAAATGTAATACATTAACTTTTTCTCAAAAAAAAAAAACTTTGTTGAGTAATTCATCTACTTTTCCTTTTATCTCATGCTCAGCTGGATTCATTCTATAATCTGATAAATTGGGCAAAACAGATCTAGAAATAAGACAAACGACATATTGGATATCCATCAAGGGTTGGGCGAGCTTGTTAGGAAGCTCTTTCTGGAATCAAGCCTGTAAAATTATACAAGAGTTCCTTCACTTCAGTGGTTCAGCCGATACTTAGCTGGCTAGAATCCTCAAGGGAGCTCATCCCTCGTTCTTTGCTTTCAGTTTTAAACTCCTTATATTGAGAATGGGAAGTCCTTTTACTTTTATAGTCTCTTCATCCTTCATAGGCAAAAACTTATTCTGCACCTTTTGTAAAGGAATGAGTAAGTGTTGCTATCTGTTAAGACCAAGAGCTGCGGCAAACCAAGAACTGTGCATGAAAACAGCCAGCCTACATATCAAGTCTACAAGAAAAGGGAGAAGCCACGTCAGCAAGAGGTTAATCCAAGTGGCAGACTGTTAGAACAGAATAACAGTCCTACAACAAATTGTAACAGTCTTGTAACAAACTACTTACCTGGGCTATAAAGACTTGAGGAAGAAATAAAGAAGACAGACATTTCATTCGAACGAATCCCTCCCTCTCTCCCTCTCTCTGTCCTTCTTTCTCTGTTTTCCCCTTTGTTTTCCTCTCTCCTCAAGAGCTCGGTTCACTCTACGAACGCTGAGTTAGGCAGCTCCTAACAGATTGGTACCAGAGCATGACCAATATGCGATCTACAACCATGGAGGCACGGGTTGATCAGGTGGAAGTCGAGCTTCACCGAGTTTCAGGCGAGATGCAAGGTATTAAGGATACGCTAACAGAGATCTTGCAAAAACTGGAACAGAACCCGCCGGTTGAAGATAGGGAAATCAACTAGGATCTGGTTAGCCAAGGAAGTAAACGAAGAAGCAGCTCCACCTTGGAAAGGAACACCAAACTAATCTTCCCTGTCTTCTTAGGCGGAGACCCCATCCTGTTGGCAACAATGCATCTGGATGGAGACACAATCCTCTGGTATCAGTGGTATCGTCGAGGGCACCCCCGTATCATGGCTCGATTTCACTGACGCCCTGTGTGTCCGATTCGGGGCTTTCGGTTATGAAGATTTTGACGAGAGTCTTGCGAAGATAAAACAAGTAGGAAGTGTTCGTGACTACAAGTTGGAGATTGAACGTCTATCGTTAAGAGTCCAAGGGTGGCCGGAGAAGGCTCTGGTCGGAGCTTTTGTGGGAGGACTCAAGGAAGAAATTCGGTTAGAGGTCAAGGCGGTGCACCCATCAACTGTAATGGCCGCGACAGCCCTAGCGAGGAGTAAGAAGATCAGCAACTGGAAGAAAGATCGTTGACTGACGAACACTGGGCTAAGACCATACAACCAGAAATCTCTCTACAGGCCCTAGCGAGGTTTTCGTCACCGCAAACCATGAGTGTGACGGGTCTAGTTTGGGGTCGCCAAGCATGGTTTTCAAAACCGGACTGAACCGGATGGTCGGACCAGAAAATCTGGTAACCGGTCAGCCATCTGGGTTCGGTTTTACTAAAAACCGGAAAATTGAAAAAAAGCGTTGAAAAGTAAAAAAAACTGCTGACCCGGGCGGTTGAACCGCTAAACCGTTCGACCTAGGCAGCGGTTCGCGGGTTAATATTTTTATCTTTAATGTTTTGAATAAAAAAACAAAAAATAAAATGCCAATTATATCCCACGATTTTCGAATCCCAATCCCCAGTCCCTTATTCGGTTTAACCTTTAGGGTTCCCGAGTTCCCTCCTCACTCCTCAGTCCTCTCAAGTCTCAACCCTCACCCTACCATCTGCGGCAGCCATCAACTCCGGCATCCGACGGCAACACACACCGACGGCGACCGGCGAACTTGCAGCGATGAAGAGTACCCAAGCACTTGCAGCGGCGAAGAGTTCCCAAACACTTGCAGCAGCGATGACTTGCAGCAGTGTACGGTGAGCGACTTGTAGTAGCGGCGGACTACCCAGGCCCACTGGCGGTGAATCCCTGAAGGTATAATTTTTTTCTGATTTTTTTGTGATTTAATTGATTTTTTGAATTCATTGGACCTACTAGAATGGTAATATATATGCTTGTTTAGTAAGCATGAATTAATTTTTCTAGAGATTTTTTTCTTTGGTAGGATTTCTAGAGACAACTTGAGATTGAAAGAAAATGACTGGGGACACTTAACTCCTTAATCCTTATTTTTACTGATTGATGAGGGAGCTCTTGATTCAACTGAATCAATCAATTTTCTTTCTTTTTTCTCTTCACAAAATATGTTTTGATATGAAATTTATGTTTTCTTCTCAAAATATGTTCACGTAATTTTTTTCTGAACTGATATGCTTTTTTCTTCTAAAAAAAAGGTTCTCATTACATGTTCTTGCTTACATATTTTTTCTATAATTTTTGGAAAATTTTCTATATTTTTTGGAATTTTTTCTGTATTTTTTGGAATTTTTTCTGTAGTTTTTAGATTTTTTTCTGTATTTTTTTGTATTTTCTGTATTTTATTATATTTATATTTAGATATTTTTATTTTTTTCATATGTTGTTCTTTTTCCTATATTTTTCGGTGTATTTTATTTAAATTTCTATGTTATTTTTTATTATATATAAGTATTTTTTGTTTTTTTATTTATTTATGATGTCACGGGTCGAACCGCTCGACTCGGATGGTTGAACTGCTGAACTGGAAAACGGTGCCCTGACCGGTTCTGTTTTAAAAACCATGTCGCTAAGTGTTCATCCTAATTGACAGTGGTAGCACTCTAAACTTTGTAACCACTGTGATAGTTAGACGATTGGGATTACCAGTTCAGCCCACAGCCTCATTTAAGGTCCATATGCAAATGGGACCTTGCTTCAATGTGATGGAATTTGCATAGACATTGGGTTACACATCCAAGATCAACAATTTCTGGTTGATCTTTACCCACTAAAGTTAAGTGGGGCCGACATTGTATTGGGAATTCAATGGTTGCAGCAACTTGGGCCTGTTCTATGCGACTGGGCCCATTTGTCTATGGATTTCATGATAGAAGGAACAAGAGTGCATTTGCAAGGCCACTCAGCTAGCCGAGCCAGCCCAGTAAGCTTGGCATCCATGTTGGAAGAAGCACGAGACCCAAATCAGCTCATTATCTGGGGATCAAATCATACAGGCCCAACGTTATCCCAGGCCCAGGATACGTCAACCCAAGCTGATTACAAACAACAGTTCCACAACATTCTCCAACAATATGCTGCAGTTTTCAAGGAGCCAACAAACTTACCTCCAACAAGGAATCATGACCACAGAATCCACTACTGCTGGATGCGTCTCCTACCAATGTAAGGCCCTACCGTTATCCCTATTTTCAAAAACAAGAAATTGAAAAGCAGGTTCAAGAACTGTTGGATAAAAAATTTATTCAACCCAGCCACAGCCCATTTTCTTCACCCGTTCTTCTTGTCAAAAAGAAAGACGGGATGTGGCAATTTTGTTTGGATTATCGGGCACTTAATAATATTATAGTTAAGGACTGCTTTCCAATTCTGGTAATAGATGAGCTCTTGGATGAACTCAAGACTGCAAGAATTTTCTCGAAGTTGGATTTACGGGCTGGGCTGGATACCATCAGATTAGAGTCCATGAAAGTGACATTCCAAAAACGGCCTTTTGGACTCATGATGGCCACTATGAGTTCCGGGTTATGCCGTTTTGCCTCACCAATGCCCCAACAACCTTCCAAGCCTTAATGAATGACTTGTTTAGGCCACATTTACGTCGTTTCATATTAGTCTTTTTTTATGACATTTTGGTGTACAGCCCAACATTTAATGAATTTGCAGATTACTCTAGACATTCTCTTACAAAATCAGTTGTATGCCAAAGAATCGAAGTGCGCCTTTGGGCAAGCCCGTGTACACTATTTGGGCCATGTGGTGGAAGATGGGAAGGTCTCAGCAGATTCGGACAAGGTAGCTACCATCCAACAGTGGCCAACGCCACGTAACACCAAGGAACTCCGGGCATTTCTAGGACTCACAGGGTACTACTGATGCTTCATTAAAAGCTATGGGATAATTGCAGCACCACTGACAGTCCTTCTAAAGAAAGACTCTTTCATCTGGAACAACAAAGCCCAAGTAGCATTTGAATCCTTAAGAGCAGTGGTGTCATCCCCACCAGCTCTAGCTTTACCGGATTTCAACAAACCTTTTGTGGTTGAGTGCGATGCACCGGGACTGGGTGTGGGAGCAGTACTAATGCAAGATGGTCAGCCCCTTGCCTTCTTCAGTAAGGCATTATCCACCACACAAAACCGTTCTTCAGTCTACAACCAGGAATTGGTGGCAGTTGTATTGTCAGTTCAGCCTTGG